GTGCCTGTGCTAGAGCGGGTATTGTGATAGCTAGAGTAAAGGATGTAGGGAAAACATCTAAGAGAGGACCAGGCTTAACACAGTAAGACCAAATGCGAACTGGCTGATCGTATTGATGTTGTGTTTGGCCCATACCCTCAAATTAAGTCCACAGTCTGCCTAAATTTTGTTGATGTTTCCCTCATTAGCAATTCTTCTCTTTTCACATCCCTCTAGGAAGCGTTACAGGAGGCTGAAGAAGGCTTTGGTGCAATTTAATACCATGATTTTAATCTCCAGACCTTTGATTCAAAGGAGGAAGCACTGCCAGGTAACGCTCTTCTCAGGACCAGGTGTACTCCAGGAGCTATTTCTGCCCTAGGTAGAGATAGCTGGTGACTGGGTGAGGCTAGGGCAGGGACGGCTTTAGCAAGTTTCTTGGAAATGATCCAATGAGGTGCACTTGACTCTCTGGCTGACATAAATGTAGTCAAAAGAAGGAAACAGAGAGAGCGGAGCCTTCTCTCCCTAGATGAAGTTTAGAATTGGCAAAGATAGTACAAATGCATCTGATTCATACGTCTGTGTATGTGAGCTTCTCAAGGCCCCCCACACAAGGCATGAGCTTATTCCACCTGTGCCCTCCAGAGCTGCGGTTCTGCTCAAGCTATAAGGAGCTATTAATCTTGCTCCTTTAGTTGTCCAGTTCAGTTTCTGGTGTTTTCCCAGATGGTGACTGAAATGCAAGATTTTTTCAGTCCACAGTGATCCTTCCCTGAGCCCTTACAGCTACCTCAGGCTGCTGAAGTCCTTGGCCTTTTGGAAACCAGGTGGGCCCATCGTTGGGGTGAGAACAGGATGGCAGCGGTTTGAGAAGATGGAAAACTGTGTGCAGGAGAGAGCCATGGTTCTATCAGATGGGTTGAATGTATTTTGCACAAGCTATTAAAAAGAAAATTGAAAGCAGGAATTCAGACCTCTCGTCCTTAGGCTGGCATCTAACATCCTTAGAGCTGTCAGCTTCACGAGGGAGGGAGGGAGGTAGGGATGCAGTACAGCTGCTGGCAAGACTAGCAAAGGACAGAGTGGAGGGTTAAGGCCAGTGGTGGTGTTGGAAGACTGCAGAGGTTCCTTCTGCTGTGCTGTGCCCAGAGCAGTGTGTGTTTCTGTTCCTTTTCCTGCCCCTTCCTACTTGGACAGGATCTAGCTTTTCTTTCTCCCAGGTAACCACACCAGCACAGCTCTTTTGAATCTGTTTCTGTTCCTCCAGTGTTTGCTTGCTGAGGTCTCCGTATATGCGGTAGCAACAATAAAGGTCTCAAAGTTCACCTGCTGCAAAGTTCCTCCTTTCCCCCCGCCCCACAGCCCTGCCCTTTGGACTTTAGCATGCCTACTGTCTTTCTCAGCCCAACCCTTATAACCTCCCATCTAGTCACATCATTCTGCAACATAGACAAGCAGGAGAGACAGAGGGAGAGACAGAGACCCTCCTTTTCCATCTCAGAGCAGGAGTCAGGTAAGTGGTGAGACTGGGGGACAACAGAATGGACAGGAAAGGGCAGAGCTGCAACAGAGTTGGGCTTTTGGTATCCCTGCCACCTCCTCTAACGGGGTCCCTCTCCATGGACAAGTTCGTCCATCCATGTTCAAGCTACGTTACAATATTCTTTGATGCTGGGGGAGGCAAGTGAATATTTCTGAGAGCTTCTGTGTGCTTTTCTCCTGAGACGCATCAAACGCCAGGCAAGGGAGGAAAGGTGTGGCAGGGATGCTGGGCGGGTGGTGAAGGCTCTCACTGTTGAATTGTGTTGTGTGGGGCAGGTGGTGTTTCAGCAAAGCTAAGGGCTTTGCCTGGGCATCCCCTTCTCAATACGCTGTGTTGAGTCCCAAGAAGGCTCTGCAGCTCTTCTGTCATTTTGTCTGCTGGAGCAGGACACCAGCTCCTGCCCATCTGCAGAGTCTGCCCCCAGAAGCAGCTGGAAGTGACCTCACATACATCTTTTCCCCCCTGCCATCCCCCTTTCACCTCCTAACAGCAGGAGTTAGAAAAAAGGAAACGAAGAAGGAGGTCCCTGGCCAGCGGTGACACAGAGAACAGTCCCAGCCAAGGAATGGTAAGTTGTCAAACTGTCTGGGAGAGTCCGAGATAAAACAAGGCAGGCTCTCAGGGTGTTCCCCCTCCCCTGTGCCTCCTCAGCCCAGGTTTGCTGGGGAACAGCAAAACGCCTGGAGAGTGTACAGAGCGCACATGTATACTGGAAACCTAGCAGCAAGAATGCAGTTTAGCTGCATGCATCTTTATAAAGAGCTTTCTAATACATAACTATCTCATTAGTTCAGTGTTTTCCGATCTCTGGGCATAGTCAGGCATCATAAAGTGGTCCTGAGGCAGAGTACTGTGTTTGTCCACAGCACTGGACCTGTTCTTTGGAGCTGGGAGGAAGACTATTTTTGATAATCATGTTCTGTTGTGAAGGCTGGGAATGAGACAGTTCTGCACAAATATACTTATGGAAGATGTTATAGAGGAAGGGAGGTATTAAAGGCTTCATAACAAGTTTAACCTGTATCAACTACTGTAAATAATACTGCTAACTAATGTCATTATTTGTATGTTTAGACTGGGCATACATTTGCTACGATGTGTGTAGCAAGGAAATCCAAATTGACATCAACCACAATTTTGCACAGATTTGTCAGTAACAAAACCGGGAATACTTAGCACTGGCTGCTCTTGCAGTATCACCTGCTTCCTCAGGTGTGGAGCCAGGACTGTGCAATTTCACAGTCCGCTTCCTGAATACGCCATTGAAAAGCTAGACTTAAAGTCAAGTATCTTCTTATGAGCAAAATCAAACTGATCAAAAAAGCTGTGAATCTATCTTCAAGCATTACTGACAGTTTATGTGGAGAGAGATGTCAGAATAGTACACTAGTGAGCAGAGGTTTTACGATGCAGATCTTAAAAAAAACAAACAAACAACAACAACAAAAAAACCAAACCCCAAAAGCTCAGGCTTTGTGCCTTTGGCTTGGTTTCATAGTGTCTTAATCTGAGTAGTCCTGTCCGAAATACCCTGAACTGACGTTATATGCAGACATTGATGCTGATGCACTGTGTTGCATTGGCCGATTTACTTCCTACCTTGCCCAGACACATGCATCACGCAAGGTGCAAACCGGTGAAAAATCAAGGCTCATTGGCCAGATTCTCAGCTAAATTACCCAGGTACAGATCTGAGCTTCCTTAGGAACCTCTAAAACAGTGGTGTGCACCAAAGATCAGAATCGGGTCTCTCTTCATTTATGCTGTAGCACTCTTGGATACTGAAAAATAAAAAGGGCAGAAAAAGGAGTAGGAGGAAATATCCCTTACCCTTCAGCCGCAGTCTCTTCTGTACAGTATGCCAAACCTGTTAGTAATGAGAGATGAGTCAAAGGAAGTCAGTTTTCCTGTCGCTTCCCCTTGTGGCAGTTGATTTTTTTAGGAATTACTCACCTTTCCCTCATTTGCTGACCCGTGTTACACACCTGTGTTAATACGATACTTCCCTGTTCGTAATGTTTCTGAATGTTGCATAGGCAGAAATTGCTGGTTTTGCTCAGGTGCTCAGTCCTCGTTCTGGCCAGCTTTTGAAAGGCAGCTTTCCCCAGCCCCAACAGAACAGCTCCGGGCAGGTGTGTTGTTTCACTGCTGGTACCCCAGCGACTGACTCGCTCGCTCTCCCCACAGGATGTGGGGCTGCTGGAGATCCCTGCGGAGCTTGCTGCCCTCCTGCAGTTAGCTGAAGGTGAGAAAGCCTCCCTCCCTCCCTCCCTCCCTCCCTGTCCCGCAGTACTTTACTGTTCATTTCCTTGCTTTCTAGCAGTTTAAGTACGTGTTTGTTCTGCCTGCTGTCTGTCACCATGTTTCATTTATTACCATTGCAGTGTAAATATGACAAAGGCAAATGGTGTCATGTATATTGTTTCCAAATGCAAAGGGGCGGAGAAGTGACTTGGGCCAGTGGGCAGAACGCCAGATTAAAATTCAGTATCTTTGTTACCTTTTCGGCTCTTCTGTTGAAGTGTGCTGATAGAACTGATGCCAGTGATGGTGCAAAACTTTTTGGTCAAAGCTATGTGACGGCAAACTGTTTAATGAACCCAGGTCTCTTGCAGAGCTGGGTATTTGGGGGGTGAGAACTTAAACCCATCTTTTTTCTACTCAAAAACCTTTAAGGAAATTGAAGGTGAAGAAGTCAAAACTACAATTTTGGCACTTTCAAAGAAATATTTTTGGGTTTTCATTAAAAATTACTTGTTCAAAGGGAATTACTTCTTTTAAACTAGAAGTAGCTAGAAACAAAGTAACAACTTCAGGATGTAACATTGTAACAATTAAGGGAAACGTTTTGCTTGGGATGGAAACTTTTTTGGTTTGGTTTGTTTTGTTTTCAAATCCCCAAAACACCACTGACTGAAATACTTTCCCAAGCTGTTGACCTGATCTTGCACGTTAAGTTATTTGCAGTTTTGTTTCCTCTGTAACTCTTTGTACAAAGTATATATTTAAGTTGAAATAGGTCGAGGCGGGGTTTGCCTCTTCATGTTGGTATAGCATCTCACAAAATGGCAGCTGTATCTTTGGCCTTCTGTATAGTACAGTCAAAGATACAATCAGGCGGAAGAGTTGTGAATTGGAGCAGACTGTGCTGGATTCCCAGATACTTCATGGCATACCCCTCGAGGGACAATCAGCTGGTCTAGCGAGCCACGCTACCTAGAGGAGCTCAGGGGACAAACTGCACTGAAATGGCTGAAAATGAAAGCTGATGGGATGTAAACAGGGAGGAGGAGAGCATCAGGGGACACATTGGTTTGGAGATCGAGGAATGCGCAGAAGCTGTGCTGCATTGAGAAATCTCTTCATTTAGGAAGATGTTTGCTCCTCTATTATCCATGATAAATCCCTCATCCAGTGCCTTATCCTGAAGACCTCTCATTTACTTGTTGACTGAACAGTTGTCAGCAGTATCTCTGCATAGGCTCAGTGTTTTCTGCCTTGTAAACTCTGCGTAAGAACTGAAACTCTGGGTTCTGACTGCCTTCTGGGTATTACCTAGGATAAGAGGTTGAAAGACCAGAGCTGTAAAAGCTCTCTCCTGAAGTTAGGCCTTGTGGACTCAAGGAGGTGAGGACGTGCCTGGTTGGGGGCTTAGGGCAGCAGGGGTGGACTGGGTGTCCCTGGAGCCAAGGGGCTGGTACAGGTGCTCGGGCAGGGTTAGATGCACGTTAGCCATGTGTTCGCTGTGAGTCAGATGTGTTCTGGCTGCCTTTCCAGCCGCTGCAGCTCAAGACCTCTTTCTCTTGCAGGTCAATACCGAGCACAGGCCAACCAGATAACTGAGGCATTGCCTCCAGAAGTCAGGGTCAAAGATGACCTTTCCCTCCCACCCACCATCAACAGCTATCCTTTCTCCTCCTTCATTAAGTCATACTTCCAGGTGGGAACTCTTTTTGCATCTCTTCATCGCTTTCCCACTGGGGAGACACACTAGTTCTAGTAACACCAGGAACAAACTCTGTGTTTCTGTCCTTTTGTTTCTTTGTAGAAGACAGATTTCCCTGCCCCTGGTCAGCCTCTGCAGCACCCCTTGACCCATCTGGATGCTGAAGACCATGAGAGCGCACTTGAGATCAACAAACTGGTAAGAGACATCTTTCTTGACTAGGGCCTTGCTGAGGAACAGGTGGGCATAAGGCAATGTTTTGATGCCTTTATACAACAAGATGCTGGTTGTGTCTACTGTTCTTACAATACATGGTGTGTTAGGAGACCAGAATAAACTGCTCCTTCCAGGCACTGGAGCAGTCTGGCAGAGATCACACGCAGCCCCTTAGGGTTGCTGTGTTCTTGGTGAGGCATAGACCAGCCCTGGACCAATGGGATCGAAGTGAATTGCCTGGTATTTGGCAGGATGTATAGGAATTAGACTGCTAAGCCTTAGTTTCCCAATATTCCAGATTCAGTAGCAATGACGGTATAAGGGGCATCTGTCTTCTCAAGCACTTATTCTTATCTGTCAGTCATAACAAAGTTTAATTTAACCCAGATCTTTTCCATGATGTGGTTTACAGTAAATCTGGTGATTGTATCTCGGGGATACAGTTGCGTCAGTACACAACAGGGGACAGTGAACTGTTGTATAAAGGCTGGAGAAAGGCAGGGACTTTGTCATCAAGAAAACACCACCTGGAACCACACCCGAATTCTTTAGTGTTTGCGTGAGGGGGATGGTGTTATTTCATCTCTGTGGATGTGAAACATTCATTTCTTCTTAAAAATGGTAATGTTGACTCTCTGAAAATAGAATGAAACTTCAGATAATTTCTAAGTAAATCTGGCAATACTTTTGAGAATTACATGTAATTAAAATAAGCCCATTAGGAAAGGTAATACCTAAAACCCGTCTCTTGTTTTGTCCTAATGACCGCAATTATAGAAGAGCATAAGCTTCAACAAAATTTTGCGAATAAGATTGTGTTTAAGCAGACTACAATTATTTTTCCTGAAGATCAAAGATAATTTTTCTCCATTGTTAATAACAATAATAAAAATATAGCTATTTCTTTGGCAAAGGCTGTAATACATAGGGATTTACTACAAAGAATTCCATGACAAATAAACACCCACTGTCTCCTGTTTTTCTCAGTGAATCTCTGACACACTTACTACCATTAACCATTTTAAGAAGTATTGTTCTCTGAGAAAAAAATAGGCCATCACTCATAAATATTTTTTCCAAACGTGTCCATGGCACGTTTTAGAAATATTTTAATCTAATGACATATTGAAGTGTAGAGGCTGAAAGAAATTAATCTGTACCTAAGGGTGAGAAATAATACAAATTAGAAAAAGCATCTAAGATATTCATATGCATAGCCAAGAAGCTGAATCATTGCTTAAGTGAGTTGGTTGAGATACTACATCTCATACTACTTGATATAATATTAACTACACCAAAGTCTTCTTAACATTCAGTTGTTAGACAGTGTTTTCTCATGTCTGGCTCTCTGAGCTTTTCACAAAGATCAGCTAAGCATCGATTTCTTTTACATATTTTTACAGCTAGGCAGCCCGTGGGCTCAGACGCAGTAACAAATAGCCTACAGTAACTTGCTTGTGTATCTCAGCTCTGCCCAAAGAAGGGGAAGTATTTTGCCCAAGAACAAATTCTGAGTCAGGGGCATAACTAAGAAGAGACTGAAGTTCTCCTGACTTTTAGTCAGGGTCCAATCTCTACGAATACTGCCTCCCAAATTCCCCAGAACTTAGGTGGTGCACAAAACCTAAGAACAGATCCTGGTCTCAGTGTTGGCTGCTCTTTTTAGGCTCACAAACACGCTGGTGTCTACAACCCAGGTTGTCACCTCACAACACAGTTTGGGACAGAGGGTTACAGCCAGAGCTCTCTCTTTTTTTCCCCTGGATGCTTCTAGATTTTGCGGTTCATTGGTGACAAGAATCTCCATGGCTGGCAGGAGGTACTTCTGGGCAACTACATTGCTGGGAGAGGTTTGAATAACGTGGCTCTGCGCAACGAAATCTTCAGTCAGGTGGTTGCCCAGACATGGAAGAACCCAGACGTGGAGCACAGCCAGCGAGCTTGGGTCCTGATGGTGACTTTGCTGAGCTGCTTTGCCCCTTCACCAGCACTGGAGAAGCCGTTGCTGAAGTAAGGAGGAGAAAAGACCTAGCTACACTTTCATTAAGGTTAAGAGAGATGAGCAGTGTGCTAAAGGCATTTGCCTTTTCCTAGATTTGTGTCAGATTACGGCATGGAGGGCTACAATGCTGTTTGCCAGCGCAAGATCTTGACAGCAGCACAGCACACAGAGGTAGACTCTACGTTGTCTCGGGCCTACCCTCCCACTCAGCTGGAGTGGATTGCAAACCAGAGGAGAGGGAAGATGGTTCTGGATGTTCATACCTTTAACGGTAACTTGTGCTTCTGCCCTTCTGCTATCTTCTAGTCCCTAAGGACTTTTCCAGTGCAGAAATCAGCATTCAAAAAATACTTCCCTCAGCTTAGCAAAGAGGGATCAGAACACCGATTCCTTCCGGCTGGTACAACCACAGGGGATACAAGTGTCTGAATCTAGACCCAAAACTCCCAAAGTCTGAGCCTGATGAACTCAGACCTGCTACTCAGGCTGAGGGATGAGATTCTTCTGAGTTTGGGCCCATCTCAACAGAGGGCTCTTCTGGCTGTGCCTCTCCATGGGTCTGGTTTTCCTGTTATCTATTATTGCATAGCCCAGGCAGCAGCAACTACTGCCTTTGTTACAGGGACTTTCTGCCTTTCTCCCTTCTCAAATATTGGCTTATGCTGCCTCTTGAGTGCTCAGAAGCTCTGTGAATTGAATGCAGAACATCCCTGCTCTGGCTCCTTGGCGAGTGGTGCGGTGGCCCCAGCGAACCAGGACACTGTCAGGTTGGAAATGCCAACCTGTGCCACCCGTTATTTCAGCTGTGGATGCGTTCATGTGGAGCCCTCCATGTGCTTTCAGTCCTCCTGTGCCCCCCCCTCAGGAGTGTGTAAGACTTTCCAGCTGGGATCTGCCTGTGTCCTGCAGAGCTGAAGTGTTGCTTTGGGTCCTGCCAGGGAGGCTGTGTGTACTGACTTTCTTTTCTGTGCTAGAGGAGAAGTTCTCAGCTGAGGTGGAGTCCTGGATGACTGGGGAGCAGTATGCAGGCTGGCTTCTGAGTGCAAGGTACTGCCAGAGGACGGGAGAAGATCTGGGGGTGTGAAAGAGGCTGTCGCTAGTTCTAAGGTTCAGACTGGCTGGGGCTGCAGGCTAGGATTTATGGCAGCTTCAGAGAAAAGATGAAAAAAAAAAAAAAAGGACAAATCTTGAGTGATTCTAGTTTGTTCCTGACCCTGGGCAATTAATAGTTGATTCACACCCTAAATCTTAAGGCCTTAAGCCAGGATAGACAAGGCAAGAAGAAACTGAATGCGATGTTTTCCTTTCTCTCCCTTTCCCCTGCCTACCTGGACACACTTTCTCTCTTTCTTATATGCTGAGCATGACGTCATATGGTATGGAATAGCCCTTTGGTCAGCTGGGGTCAGCCCCCCTGGCTGTGCTCCCTCCCAGCTTCTTGTGCACCCCCAGCCTACTCACTGTTGGGGCGGTGTGAGAAGCAGGAAAGGCCTTGCCTCTGTGTAAGCACTGCTCAGCAGTAACGAAAACATCCCTGTGTTATCAACAGTCTTTCCAGCACAAATCCAAAACATAGCCCTATACTAGCTGCTATGAAGAAAATTAACTCGATCTCAGCCAAAAACAGCACAGTGATTTACCTATATTGTTTCGAAAAACAAGAAATGGAATAGACAACACAGGGAAATGGGCATCATATAATTCCTTGTGTCACTTGAATACAGCTTTTCCCTGAAATCAGCAGAAAAAGATGAAGTGGGACATTATAATGTTTGTAATATGGAAAGCTAAGTTATAACTTTAAGTTTGCCCATAAAAATTTTGTCCAATTTCTTCTGCATGGGTTGCTCTCTGAATACTGCAAAAAAAAAAAAAAAAAAAAAAAAAAAAAACTAGGGGCTGTGATAAGAAGTCTCGAGGGTGGTCTGTCTCCATGTTTACTGGCAACACGTGGCAGGACCTGCTGGGCTGTGACTTTGTGCTGGACCTCATTGGAGAGATGGAGGACACCAGCAACCTCGGCAGCCCCTCTCAGTCCTCAGCTGGGTACCCCATCAGTCCTGAAAGGGAGAGAAGCTTCTTCCAGAACTCTGACCTGGATTCGTAAGTCACCTAATCCTCCTGCCCCACCACTTGTGGCCCTGTCACCCGGTGGCTCGTCTTTCTCTCAGCACTCTGTGCTGTCCTCATCTCTTTTTCCTGTTCAACAGGATCCCTCCTGCTCCAGGCATCCGGGCTCCTACCTTCCCACCACCTAGCCTGCCTCCAGAATTCAACAATCTCCACCCAGGTAAGCTCTTGCCCAGGACTGTGGATGGCACTGAGAAGGGCCAGATGGGCCCCAGCCAGGGAATGAAAGCAGAGGGGGAGACAGGTGGTTCTTGATGTAGAGCAAGGAAGGACTCCACTCTGAAACATGACTGTCTACTAGGGAGTGGAGACAGGGGAGTGTTCCTCACCTGCCTTGTCCCCAGGCTTCTCTCTGTTCTTAGATCCAAGATTCAGAGATGACCCGAGGACCCCTGTAGGCTTGGATGACTACGTGGATGATCTCTTCAGCACTGTGCTGCATCAAGGCTCCAGAGTATCAGTAAGTGCCTTGATGTTCCATCTTAACTTTCTCTCTGCAGCTCTCCTGTCCCTGTGACTCCCTCAAGCATGCCTCTGCCTATGCGCTCTGCCCCTGCTCAGCTCAGCTATGCCTTTGGATGGCCCTCCCTCTGTGAAGTCTGCCTCTCTGAGCCCAGATAACTCTTTTTTCTTGTTGCAGGATATGGAAAACAGGGAGAGTCTGACTGGACACATGAAAGGGGGTGGGAAGATTGGACCCACACAGAGAGGAATCTTTCCTTCTGCAGGTCGGTAAGGGGATGGGGACAGCTGGGAACACCCGTGGGGCTACATAAGCTTCAGTGAGCACAAGTCAGGGAGTCCTTTAAATGCTAATTATTGCATGGGCTCAACTGATTCGTGAAGAGCACTGGTCTTTAGCATAGGTCATCAGAAGTTGAACTCCTCACTCTGAGGTGCTGGGAGACAGATGCTTTGGGGAAGGGAAGGTGCTAGGTAAGGGTGCCACCTTTGTTCTGCTTTTAATTTCTCTCTCGAGTTGGTCTTGGGGTCAAGGCAACAGGCAGCTTGCTTCTGACCCAGGCCACCTCTTCCCTAGGCCAATTCTCATAAGTCCTGTATTCACCTTTTATTCACTTTGTGCTTTCACAAAATAGTTGCTGCCTTTCTCAGGAGGGTTTTAATCTTTCTTATTGCTTCCTTACAGACTTTGCCACCATCTCTAGCTATTCCTTGGGTTAGTAAGTCTGAACCCTGTAGAGGTTCTGGTTTGTGTGTTTGGTTTCTTTACTTTGCCTCATTTCTGTGGAGCTAAGACTCAGGTATTTTCAGTAGGGTGGAGTCAAACACCAATATATTAATGGCACTGAGAAATCTGCATGTGTAGGAACACACCCAGCAGTTTCAGAAAGGTGGGGAATGTCCTGTTCAGATCATTACTGAGTCTGGGACTATTTTTGGCTATTGTAGAGGCTCTGGGGCACGACAAGCCCTATTACAGGTCACTGGCCTGAGGCCAATTTGTTACTCATGTGGCTACTTACATCAGTGAGGGATGTGAAGATCTCTCCATGGGCCATTCTCACTGGCAAGGACATCGTGATTCAGTAGACCTGTGCTGTGTGTTGACTCGCTCCTAGCTGAGACTGATCTCCATGCCCCTTGCTCTGCTGGCTTTGCCCTCAGTGGGATTTCTGTGTTGTGGCCTCATGTGGGACTTGACTGCTGGGAGAAGAGGAATTTCTTTCTCCCCACAGTTCCTTCACATGATATACGGTGCCACCCAGGCCGGGGCTCGTTGTTCATTCACCCTTGCTACCTGCTGCAGAGACCAGTATGGATCTGGCAGTCCCAGAGATCTTTGCCCAACCCTCAAAAGAAACCCTTCTCTGTAATCATACATAGGCAGGAGTTATTTATATGCTTAGTCATGAAGGATGGTGGTGTCCTAAGCTACACTGCAGAAGCAAGGTCTGGATCCTGCTGTTGTAAAGTCTGGCAGGCCACACATTTCCCTTAGGTTTCCTTTTTCTACTTGAGTTTTGCTGTGTCTTGCTGTGTGTGAAGAGGTAAACCATTCACATGTCCCTATGGCTGGTGCATGTGGAGAGACCCAGAGGTACCTAGCCTAGGTGATGTGTTCTGTGGGGACTGATCAGCGCTTTCTGATCTGGGATTCCCCAAAAGCACTGTGCATGTGGCCTTTTGCCTCTAGGCTTCTCTGGGGTGACTCAAGCGCCAGTTTACCAGCCCATGTCTTCGATGATGGGGATGCCAGCAGCCATGCCTATGATGCCGGCGGCTGGCGGGATTGCGCCTATGCAAGGTAATAACACAGTGTTTCAGTAACTGTACAGGGGAAGAGGGTGGAAGGGTGGGTGTCGTAGAGGAGCCTGTGCATTTGAATGTCGGGCGGGGTGCGCAGTGAGCACTCAGCTCTGGGCTGATGCTCAGGCATGGTGGGGAATGACTGCCTGTGGGTGTTTGCAGACATGTGTGTCTTCCACAGCCATGGTTATGCCCCAGCCTGTGGTTCCAGCTGTAGATCCCAATCAGTTAGCAGCACAACAGCAAGCCTTTATCAGCCAGCAAGCCATGCTCATGGTGAGTGGAAGGGACTGGCTGGGAGGGGCTCAGGAACTGGGGAAGAACAACACGCTGGTGTACGTGCTGTGTCCCTCCTGCATTAGGCCTACTCTGTAACACTCTGCGTTTGTGCTGAGGGTTAGGTATATAAAGTTGGGATTATTTAAGAATGCAAAACTGGGAACCCACTTTTTGCCACTTTGTGTACCTGGGGACACTGAGGCACCATAGGTGAGAGAGCAGGAACAAGAGCAGGCCCCAAGAAGCCTCAGCTGTAATTCCCATGTGTTTTTAAGCTGGAATTTGCTACAGATGCAGATCTGCAGTATTCTGCTTTCTGTATAAAGCCTCATGAGAGCCTGGAGGTCCCAGGCTATCTCACTGGTAGCTGAGTCTTTGGGGTGTTGTTAGGAGCTCTGCATACTTGGCCAGGTGGGAGCAGGCTCCCGGGGCATGCCTTGTCCATAACACTGGGAAGTTTGCAGTGAACTATGTAGATGTTCTGTGATTACCAGTGAAAGCATGGGACAGCCTGACTGGTGACGGGTGGTTTTGTGTAGCCTAGAGCTCACGGACATTCTAATTCCTTCCTCCAGGCCCAGCAGATGACCCTTCAAGCCATGAGCATTTCTCAGCAGCAGCAGCAACAGCAGCGGTGGCAACAGTCTCTTGAGAACTCAAGGCTAAGAGTCTCAAGTCCACCACAAGCCCAAGCCTCGGCTCCAGCCCCAGTCCCAGCCACTTCCCCAAAACCCAAGAAGCCTCCCAGCAGCCAGAATGCTGCACCACCACCAAAGGCTCCAGAACCGCCAGCGAAGGCAGAAGAACCGGTATGAGAAACAAACAGTGGTGGTGAATTTGCTTTGAATTTCATGATTTGCATTTGCTCTGCTTCCCTTCCAGTGTGGCAGTGGTTTGGCAGAGAGGATTGAAGAGAACTAGGCTTACCTATGGTACTGAGGCCTTTCAAACTCTACTTGCTGAGTCTTTAAGACACAGGATCAAACCGTGGTGGCATTAGCTCCATGGAGGTTTGGCTGCAGTGTTGGCCAATTAATTCCCAGCTGATCTGAATTTTTCCATAGGAAAATTCATCACTCTTGAGTTCTTTATCTTCCAGCAAGCTGTCTTGGGCCTCTTACATACCCCTTCTTCTCTGGACTTGGTTGATGATTCCTTGGGTCAGAGACTGATCTCCTCATATACTCGCAGATGGGGAGAAGTTCTAGATCAGAACTTTGCGAGGGAAGATCACCTCTGAACTTAAGGGCACTACGGAGGTATCTGCTGGCTAGCGCTAACTGACCATGTTGTGAACTGCTTGCAGGTTTATGACTACACGGAAGACCAGTTCTCTAACAGTGAAGATGATGACTATGCTCCGGAAACTTTCCAGCAGAAGAGAGAATATTTTCAGAAGATGGGTGAGCACCTACCACTTTGGGAATTTCACTCATTTTAACACCTTGTTCTGCAGCCTCCCTGGCATAACAAGGTGCTCTTGTCTCCCTGTCTGGAACCCAGCTAATCCCTGCAGGAGCTGCTGGCGCTGTGTGTAGCAGGAGTTTTGGGTGCCTGCTCAGCTGGCTACAATTCAGATTGTGAGGTGCTGTGTTGCCAGTTTTCTAGAAATCTTTGGGCTTGTGACTGCCGCACCTTCCTTTGCCTCTAGAAAGCATAGGCTTCTGCACGGGTGGGAACTAGGCCATTAGTGGTAGGTTTTGGCTGTGGGTTTAACTAGCTCAGGTCCCCCTTTCTATGCAGGAGAGCAACATATCCGAGTGAAGAAAGTCAGGCTTCCTTCCAAAACCTGCACCCCTCCAGCAAATCTACAGCCAAAGCAGGAGGAGGAGAAGAAAGAGGAGCAGGAGAAGGAGAAAGAAGAGAAGCCCAGCCCTAAAACAGAGGCAGGTAAGATGCTGTGCAGTGGAGACCCAGGCAGGCTGACAACCAGGAACTTGCCAGGAGCATCAGGCCAGGATATAGCCAGAGGAGGAAAGGCTCTGGCTCTTCTGGGAGTCTGCATCTTGACAAGAGAGAAGAGAAGAGAGAGAAAGGCCTGAGCTTTGGGAAGTGGGATCCCAAAGCAAGGCAGTGGAAGGCCATGGCCAGTCAACCTAGGGCTGAAAGAGGGGAAGCTTCAAATGAGATAAAGGGATTTCTCCTGTGTCTTTGCTGGCCTGTTGGTTAAAGCTGTCATCCCCAATAGCTCCTGCTCCCCCTTTGCCGCCTCCTGAGCCAAAGCCAAAAAAGCAGACACCAAAAGCGAAGAAGGAGCCACCTGTAGTGAAGCCTTCGGGCCCCGAGTTGCGGCCTGCACCCAGCCGGGAGATCCGCAACATCATCAAAATGTACCAGAGCAGGCCAGCCCCCGAGCCCCAGCCTATTGAGCCTGTCAGGTGAGAAAGTGTGGTCCACCCAGGTGGGCAGGAAGGAGATGAGTGGGACTATATCCCAGCACTGCCACATGGCTCCATTGTGGCTACAACCCCTCTGCATCCCCTGTAACTGTGCTCCCCATTTCCTTGCAGGAAAGTGGCCAAGCCATTTATGAAGAAGAACGATCCCAAAAATGAGGCTCTGGCCAAGCTGGGAATGATGAACCTCCAGTCTCCCAAATCGGTGAGTTCTTTGCTCTCCGGTCACCTAAGAGCTCAGCAGAGAGGGCCTGTGCATCCAGCCTCCAACAGGTTGGGAGCTACTTGGTGGTGCAGTAGCAGCCAGGTGATTTCTTGTTGGGTTACTAGATAGCTGTGAGCTCATACCATGGTGCTGCCCATCCTAAACTGGGCTCCAGTCTGTAAAGTCACCTGAGGTCCTGGAGAAAAGGCTCTGGAGCAGCAAGTCCTGTTGTGGTATGTTTAAGGCTGATCTGGAAGCAAGAAACTCATGTTCCCCACGACTGGCACCAAGGTCTTGGCCCATTAATGTCTTTTTTCCTCTTTCCAACTGGAGGCTTCAATCTCAAATACTTGGTTCTCTGCACCTGGGTTTGCTTGATCTTCATCTGTTTGTAGATCATGTGCTGATTTAAAGGTCCTGGTATCCCTGTTCCCACAGATGTTGCTTCTAGAGTTGGACTGCTGCCCTAGGGATGATGCATAGCAGCAGTGTCACAACAGAGCACAGTAACGCAGAGAATGACTGGGTCAAATGGTTTTGCTGTCTTGCAGCCATCCCCCCTGCCACAAGAGAAGAAAATACCTCCACCTCTCAAGCCCAAGCCAGGCTCAGCTTCCAGCTCTATCAAGAAGGAGTTGCCTCTCCCCCTCAGCCAGCAGAGTACACCACCAGGTTCCCCTTCTGTTCTCCCTCCTGCCCCACCATTGCCTTCGCCTCTCCTGCCTGGGAACCAAGGCTTGCAGGACTCCACAGGGAAGGGTGAGTATTGACTTCACCCAAGTAGGATTTGGTAGCGGGGCTGGGTGGGAGGGGATGGGGTCAGAATCAGCCCAGCGGCCTGGGAGAGTCGCAGCACATGTTCTGTCATCAGCCAGCTGGCCAAAGACTGAGTGGGCTGTGTGAAATCAGAGGCTGTCCCCATAGTTCCAGTCTGGCCCAGCACTCAGCGTGGCACTTCCCAGCTCTAACTCTTCCCTTTCTTCCCAGTGTAGTGCAGGATGTCAGGCACAAATGATGAAGGAGGGGCTGGGCTTCTCTGAAAAATGCAGCTAAAACCACAGAGGACCTTTGGGCTACAGCTTTATCAAGGTCCAGTCCACAATACATTTTATTACCTACCTGAAGCATAATTACTTTATCAAAGCTGCAATTCGATGGATGGACTTTAGACCAGGGAGGAATGGGAAGCCAGGTGTTTTACCTTCTAGAGCCTCTGGAGGGTCTTTAGAGACAGGCTAAGGAATGAGGGAATGTTTCTCAGGGAGAATGAGAGCCTGGGAGACCTTGGACACTGGCCACATAAGGAGTGTCTGGATGCTGCCCACCTGAAAAATGGCATAGCTAATGCTTCGCAGCAGGAGTTTGGAAGTGTTATGCAGTCCTAGGTTTTGCCTCTGAATTGCAGTGGGAACCTGGAGCCATAATTCATTTTATACTTTGCTGCTATTTTGGATACATGTACCAATGTATTTCAAGCTGTTTAAACCTCTCATCAGCATTACATTTTATAACATGCAAGGAACAGTCAGTCAAGTACATAACTGCAGGACTCCATCCTGCATCAGCTTCCCTGGTATAAAAAAAAGTCCCTGCTTCACTCTGCCTTTCTTAAAAAATGGATCTTTAGGAAGTCCTGTGAAAGTAAATCAAAGTAACTGGATTAGCCTGAAAAATCCCTACATGCTTTTGAATAGGAATATAGAAACAGATGAACTGTGGGGTCTACTACATTTCTTGATTGTCTATGAACTCTGATGTTTTGAAAGTTGGGAGTGCTTAAATGAAGATATTCCTACCTTGTAAAGCAATGCCTTTGAATGGTTGTCTTCAGACTGAGCCTGTCTTTAATAGATCTCCTGCAGAGAGAAAATCCAGTGCAAGTAGTGGGTGCCTTGTACAGAACCTTGCAGTCTGCAAGCTCAGGGAAGAACTTTTTTGCCCTTTTGAAAACTTTAGCAGCCTTTTTATAATGACATAAAGTGAAACTGTGTCTTCGAGCTTAACCACAGTGGTGGTATCTTCCCTGGGACGCTGTGTGCTCCCTATCTCTGGAGTATTTCTATTATGAGCACTGAACTTTGTGGCTAATACAGCAAGTATAAATGCTATCAGAAATGCTGGTGCTCACATGATGGCTGTTCTGTGCGTGCATTCATATTAGCTGATCACTGACCTTCAAGAGGGTTCTTGACAGTAATCTTCAATCACGGCACTGTCCCCTTTCTCTTGGTAGGTCTTTGGCAGGTGGGAAGGTGACCCTGTAGTCAGCAAAGCCCATCTTCACTGCTCTTTCTCCTCACACAGACTCTACTGTAACAGTAGCAGAAGATGACGGTATCAAGACCCAGCTGTATAAGCTCACTGACAGTGTCAGCTTTTCCTATGACAACCCTGCCTGGAAAATCTTTTTGCGCAAAGAGGTACGGTTCATTAGCTGAGGGCTGGCTATGGGGGGAGGGAACTAGTCCCACATTTGATTAAAATAATTTTGCCATAGGCACCCAGTGTGATATAAGAGCACAAACACAGTTCTGGGAGGGGATCACAAGACACAGCAGTCGGAGGCAGGGGATCATCTCATTGGGCAACCAGGTCCTGCTCTGCCTTACTGACTCTGGTGTCTGTTTCCCTACCTGTCCTTTCCTTCACCTGTAAAGCACTGAGGAATCTACAAATAAAGTAAATGTCCTGGTTGTTACCTGGTACTTTCCTGTTAAAATAGTACAAATGTGTTTAAAATCAAGTCTTGGAGAGTACACTGAGCTGACCAGGGTTCATCCCATGGTCTCACCACTTTACTTTTGGTCCTTCCCTCCTGGTCGTTCTGTTTGCATTCACAGTGTCTCTTCCCTGCCTGTCCTCGGAGATGGCCTCACTCCTCTCTGGCAGTAGGGCATATGGGTTACAAAACATCCCTGGGGAGCTATTTCTGCAACATCTGTAAACATCGTAACATTACTATTGGTTTTATCCTCCTCTTGCAGGTGTTTTACCCCAAAGAAAATTTCAGTCACCCTTATTGTCTGAACTTGCTGTGTGAACAGGTATGTACTGGTGAATGACTCAGGGCCTGTTTCTCTGGGGACAAAACACTCCATAATTACATTGCATAAGTTGCCTTCGCTTCTGCATCCCTAGTGGTCTTAGTCCCTTCTCCAGGTCCACCCAGTGAAGCCCCTGCTCACTCCTCTCTGAAACTCAGCCTGTTTAACAGCCCCAGATGCTCCAGTGCACTCAGATGTGGCCTTTCCAATGGAAGCCTCTCTGTTTCCTTCCTCTGCAGATCATGCGTGACACCTTCTCTGACTCCTGCCTTCGGATCTCCAAGGAGGAGAAGCGCAAGATGAAAGACCTGCTGAGTAATTAACAGCCCCATCATCCCTTCCTCCCTGTGCCCATCCCAGCTTTTGGTTTGAAACGAGAAACTGGCCTCCAAGCCCTTTCAGGCAGGACTTAGGGCAGAGGAGAAATGTTTATCACTGCAGCAAGAAAGCACACTTGTGTGTGCTGTGTAGTGCAGTGTAGGAATGTTTGTTTATTCCAAGCAGCCAGAATATACCCCTGAAATTTCCCCGAGCCAGAAAAACTTAGTTCTGATATGTTTATTGTGGGGAGAGGAAACTGAGGCCCAAGGATAGGATTTTGAGCTGTCTCAAAATCCAACTGTTGTCTTTGACAGGAGCTTCATGGAGAGGGGGAGAGAAACTGGTAGTAGACTGGTGTGTGCAAGTAATATGGTATCCTTTCACCTCTGCATGTTGTTTGCTGCGCTGTAATCACTGAGGAGGACTGGTGGGAATGGGTCCCTGGGCAGAGGAAGATTTGGCCATCTCTGTCTTACTGAGAAAGTATCTGCTTTGTACCCTGCTAGTGGAGTTCCGGGTCGGCAACGATGTCCAGTCCATTCAGGAGGAAGGGATAAAGAAGAGGATTGTAGTGGCTGCTCGGGATAACTGGGCTAACTATTTCTCCCGCCTTTTCCCAGTTCATGTGAGTCTTAATCTTCTCACTAGACCCTGGGCTTGCTTTAGCTGTGTGGCTCTAGTTCACCTTGGGTCTCTTTCTGTCTCCCTGCCTGGCCACACATCACTCATTCTTCTGCACCTTCTGTACCTCGCTGGGTTTGACACCTCTGTCAGCCCAGGGCCTCCTTCATGGTCGATATGGTAGCATCTTCTTTCCCTGCTGCGTCCTGTCCAGGTGGGATGGAGCCTTTGATGCTCTCTGCTGCACTTCCCTTACAGAGTGAAAATGGAAGTGATGTCCAGATCCTGGGTGTTTCTCACCGGGGCATCCGGCTGCTGAAGGTGGTGAAAGCAGCTGGCTATAATCCTGAGCACCTGAAGAGTCTTTGCAGCTACAGGTGAGCAAAAGGGCACTGGCTGCTGCAGGATGATAATTTGTCACTTGCAGGATGCTTTCAGAGTGCAGGAGGCAGACTGAACAGGTGAGCTGAAAATTGTCTGGTTGTGCTGTGCTCTCTAGGATTGTCCTAGGCCAGTTGCGACTCACTGACCCTCCTTCTATTGAGTTTGGTCTTTCCCTTTCCTTCCTGCCCTGTGCTTTGCTCACAAGAAGTGAGTGCTAGCTATGAGTCAGCTCCATGCATGTCATCAGAAGGGAGGTCCTCAGAGTGGTATGGTGAAAGCCATACGCAGCCTATGGTGCTATTACCGTTGTAATATGGTGCTGGTGAAAAGCCACCCTCTGGAGCGTGCTGAGGCCTGTCTCCATTCTCAGTCCTTGGAACGAGCTCCCATCCCCATGATCTGCATCCCCAGCTCTGGCAGAAGGAGCCTGAGCATGCTGGCTGTGTTCTCAGCTTTGCAGATGTGCTGTCAGTGGAACTGAAGGGCAGCAATGCCCTGGAGTTCTCTCTGAAGACAGAGCAGCTCTTCCTGCACTCTCCAAAGGCTCCGTGCATCAAGGCCATGGTGGAACTCTTCATCCAGGAGCTGAGGCAGGTGAGGGAGTGGCTGTAGTGCAGTAGGGAATAAAGGTGGTTTCCCACATGGACCTGAGAGGGTCCATGGGATAACATGGCCTGAGTCTCTCACATCTTGGGGATGAGATTTGACCTCCCCATCACTTTTTCCCCAGGATACCAACTACGTCGTTGCTCTGCGCAGCCACATCACGGATGACAAGAGCCTTCTTAGCTTCAAGAAGGGTGACCTCATCAAGTTACTGCCCATGCAAGGCGTGGAGCCAGGTGAGGGAGTTTGTTGAGAATACAGGAAAGGTGGGGACTGGGTTCAAGGGCCTGCTGGACCCATGGTGCCCCAGAAGCTCTATGTGCTGCTGTCGAGTAAACCAGAGGAAAGCAGACTGTTAAGGGCTGGCCTAGTCAGCCTTCAGCTCTGCCATTCCCAGACTGCAACCCACCTTGTTCCAGCTGCCATAGTTACAGGGGACGTTATCTTAGCATGCAGGAAAGCCTGGTCAGTCTGGTGCTCTCCTTTGCCAGTTAGATGCCTCACCGCTCATTTCTCTTGGTAGCTGCCATGGTTTCTGACTCTTTCTCCCCTGTTTCTGCAGGGTGGCAGTTTGGCTCCACTGGTGGCCGCTGTGGTATTTTCCCCACCAGCTTGGTGCAACTGGCTGCAGCCCCTGATTACCTCAGCACCAGCATGGACAGATGTGGAGGGCTGCGCAAGAGCATGAAAGCTTCCTCGGAGAGTAGGAACACCAGCAGGGAGGTGAGCTGTCCTTGAGGAACTGCTAGGGGACATGGCTGGGTTCTGTGGGAGCTCCTGGGGTGGGTCCGTGGCCCTGCTAGAGTCCGACCTCCAAGGCTAGAGGGAAGAAGATGACTGCTTAATCCTTACAGATGGAGACACTCAAATACCATCATAGTGGGAGGGGGAGGCACCACACACAGATGAGGCCTTCCTAGGTCTGGCAGGTGAGGGGAATACACACTGCAATTCCTCAGCTGACTTTTCAGGGTGGGTTTGGTGCCTGTCCCTGCAGAGTTCTGTTCCCAGCCTGACATCAGATCCCGACAGCACCATGTTAGTCCCTGCTGGCGATCATTATACCATGATGGACTTTGCCACAGCCTACTTCCGAGAGGCTCAGTCCATGTGAGTAGGCTGTGGTCCTTCCTGAAAAGGCACACACAGGACCTGTGTAGCCTGACCCGCACCAAGCCGTTGCTGGGGATATTTCTTAGATTGCATGTTCTCTTTCCTCTGTCTAGGCAGGGACTGAAGGGGATGTCTGCTGAAAAGAAGAATGCAGCTGACCTGGTCCAGCACACCAAGGTGAGCCCAGTCTATTCCCATGGCTACAGCCAGAATCCCAGCTCTAGCGTTGCCTCTAGCTTTGTCCCCACATCGCAAAAGTGCAGAGGGCAGATCCTTGGCTGCAGTCTCTGGGGAAGCATAGGTGCCCTCTACTCTTCAGTGCTGCCTGCAAGATACTGGGAGCTTGTGTTTTTTGTGAAGCCTGCAGCACAGCTCTCTGGGATCTGCCTCCCCACCTTACCCTTGTATTCTGGCCCTGCAGGTCCCAATCCAGGAGTCTTTGCTCTACTACTCCGACAGTGAGCTGAATGAGCTTGCTACAAAGAACTTCAAGAGTAAGTGCCTACCTAGGACACCACACTGCAGAGGCTGGAGCAGGGGGGAGTGGGACGGCCTCAGTGGCCACACATAGGCATCATGGGCCCCAGAGTGAGGAATGAAAACTCAGAGAGGAGGGCCTCTCCTAAGGCACTTCTGCAGTTAATAACTACCCATGTCCTTGCTGAAAGTGTCCAGCAAAACGCACTTTGCCTGGAGTGCAAAGTATCCAAGAACACACACTGCCTGGGCTGATGTCCCAACCAATACACACATCCAATGCAAGCCTAGTAAGAGCCCGGGGAGCAGAAAAGCTTTCAGGACATGTTCTAGTCTACTGCCTGCCCTATGGCAGGATCACCTCCGCTTAGACCTAAATGCTAGCCTTTGCATTGCAGCTGTGATGCGACTCATGGGAGATCAATCAAAACTCAAGAACCAGAATGAGGTTGAGTGCATCTATGAAATCCTTCAGGTTTGTGACCTTCTCCTGGGCAAGGCGCTGAAGCACCAATGGGAATGAAGGTCCAAGACCTTGTGGGGAAAGGAAAGAGCAGGGAGAGCTGTAATGCAACTTCCTATGGAAGAAAAGGAGCTGAAACACAGAGGCTGACAAAAAAACATCGAGGGGAGGGGTTGTATGTAAATGGTTTCCCTAGCCATCACTGTCTGGATGAGAGCACAACCTGTCTCTCCTCCTTTGGGCCTAGATAGCACTAGAGACCAGAGGCTGCAAAGCCTAAGCTTTAAGCCACGTTGGCAGAGCTCTGGAACTGGGAGAGGAATGGCACACAGCTGACCTGGGGCCTCTCTGATGCTCTCATCCCCTCTCTGATGTTGTCTTCTCCTCTCTGAATGCAGCTGTGCAAGGAGAAGGAAAATTTGCATGATGAGGTCTACTGCCAGGTCATCAAACAGGTCACCCTCAACCCTAACCAGTGAGTACCAGCACTGTCAGCTCCTGTGCGTGCACAGCTGGAGGGGAACCGTCGGCATGGCTGCACAGACAGCAGGGCCAGGGGAGAGGCTGCCCCCTAATGATGTACTGGCCCCAGTTGCTCAGTTGCTGGGGCTTTTGCTGAGCACTCGGGAAATTTAGCCGGTTGTTGGGTTTGCTTTTTTGCTTCAGTGGATGTTTGTCCTTCTGTCTCTGGCTGCTGATATATCTGGGCACTGATAAACGTTCCTGGTAGCGGTGCTGCTCAGAGCCCTGATTTCCTCTTCACAGGCCTGGGGAACTGGTACAATAGTTAGGACTGGCTTGACCCCACACTGCCCTGCAATACGGCAGCAGTGGCATCAGAGGGGCCTTGATTTTTCCCTTTGTTTGCTGTTTGAATAACTGAGTCAATCCCTTCCTCAGCATAAGAAACCTCTGACCAAGGGCTGCCACTTCATTTTCTGCCACCTGCCATAGGTGTTCAGAAGGGCAGAGGCTCGCTTTGAGCTGCTTGGAGCAGGTATTGTCTTGTTCCAAGGTGCCCACAGTTCTTTCTGTCCTGCAGGGAGAGTGTGCTGCGTGGTTGGTTGCTCCTCAACCTGCTAACTGGGTACTTCCTCCCTTCTAAAGTTCTGATGCCCTATGCCACCAAGTTCCTGCAGCTAGCCAGCAGTGATCCATCTAGCACCCACCACGGTATGACTGTTTCTGTGTCCTGTAAAATAAACAGCTGCCCCCTTGTTACCAAGGCCCAGTGGTCAAGGAAAGAAGACAGGATCCAGGTGGGGACATGGTCCAATGGGAAAACCTCCCTTATCCTGTTAGGCAGGAGACATGAGTGGGGTACTGAGGGAGCTGAGTCTGCAGGCAAGAGTCTGCTTTGTATCTCTAGTCTTTCTGTTTGCAGAGGTCATTTCCCATCGCATCTTCACTCAGGCAAGGTGGAATTGTGTCTCTGAGGCTTGGCTTAGCCCTGTGGCTTAGGCCCAGTTTGACAGCTAGACCTGGGGGAAAAGGCACGCTGCAGTCTTCCAGAGTCATCAGCTGTGAGGTATTTGGGTTGGAATCCTGCCAGAGAAGAGGGTTCTAGTTCTCCCATCCTGTCGTTCCTCTGTATTCCTGTTGCCCCGGGCACTGTCTGGGGCTGCCCCCTCATGATTTCGATGTGTCCAGGCACAGTGGGAGATGAGGTCAAGTCTCCTTCCTTTCCTAGCACCGGCCCTGGGTTAAATTCAACACAGCCAGGATGACCCAACACCACAGGAGACAATGCCAAGTCCTCTGTTTGGCTCAGTACATGAAGCTTTTTCCTTTTCCTGCAGATATAGCCAAGATCTGTCAGAGCAACCTGCGGAAAAATTTCATGTACGGGGGCCGTCGCCACCTTCCTTTCCCTGTGGAGCTGGAGGCATTGCTGGTATTGAGGGGCAGAGAAGTGGGGATGCTGGGAAGAGAGGGAGGGCAGAGGCTTGCCGGGAGGTGCCACGTGCGGTGTTGCAGGGGTGGTTAGTGTTCCAAGCGAGGAAATGAGGCGTATGTCTGCGAGGGGATTGGGAAGTGCAGTGTCATGGAGTAGACAGGGATAGGGGCAGGGAAGAGGCAGGTACTACAGGCAAGTAGTGGAACATAGAGGTGAGGACAAAGGAAGAGGGAGGAAGAATTGTGGGGCTGATGGGATCCTGCATGTCTTGGTGCCTAAAGACTGTTCTTTGCAGAAGGGGCATGGTGCCCGCCGGCTAGTGATACTGATGCCTGGAGGCGTGGAATACCTCACCAGAATCAAGACATTCACTGTGAGTTTTCTGCTCTGAGTTTCTTCATTGATCTGGACTCTGAGCCGCACCAGGGAACTCCCTTATCTGTCAAAACCTTGGGCTTGGCCTGTGCTTCCCGTAGTGCTGTGACAGTTTCCCACTCGCTTCCTAGGAGTCCCTGTAGCAGCATATCTCTGCAGGGCCTGTACAATGCTGGGATGCCTCGCCCAGCTTGCTGCTCTGTGCAGTAGCCAGAGCCACACTGCTGCCTTCTAATGAGCCCAGCATGCCTAACTGCTCTGCTTTGGGCTTGCCTGGCCATGGTGCTTATTTGCTTCTTTCCTCGCTTCAGGTGGCCAAGGAGGTCTTGCAGGAGATCTGTGAGCAGATGGGGGCAGGCGAACAGGAAGAGATGCAGGAATTTGTTCTCTTTGCCATCAGGAGCGACAGCAATAATCTCGGCAAGTAGAGACTAGCGTCTAGATTCTTTCTTAAAGCAGTTTCTCCAACAGGGAGTACCATGGCTACCATTTTGAATAGTTCTCCCACCCTTGCTGGCTCTGGGGAGGTTCCTCTTCAGCAGTTTCCCTCTGTTACTAGGGTTAAGGATTGTACCTTCTCAGGGGCTGAGTTGCTTGTTCCTGAAAGAGATGTGTGTCTCTGTGTGGGTCCGTGTCCCTTTGGAATGGCTGATGCTGGGAGTCATAAGGGCAGGGGGGAACAGAAGTGTGCAGGAAGGCTCCTGTCCCGGGCCACGGAGCTCAGCCCACTGTCTCAGCACCAAGAGTGATGACCTTCTCTCTGCGTAAACATGCAGATAAAATGGTGAGGCCGATAAGACCGGAGGAGTATCTTCATGATTATCTGCTGGAGGACAAGTTGGTCACTGTGACTTTACGCAGGCTCATCTGGAGGACACCTCTGCACTTTGAGAACAAAATTTATACTGATGTTCATTACGGACAGGTAAGCAACAAGGGCGGTGTGCGCACCAGGAACCTCCCTAGCAGGGGCAGAGTTAGCGTACAGGCCAGTGGGAATGTCCCAAGGGGGCTTTGGCTGATCGGCTTTGTATGCTGCTTCTGGGAACGACTAATAACTGAAGCTATGGGTGCAAGGAAGGCGGTGTGCCTGTAGCCCTAGTCTGAGCTGTTCTGTTCCAGACATGGGTTGTGCAGTTCTGCGTGCTCTTCCCGAGCCCAGAAAGCCTTTGCTTTTGTGTTACTGGCTTGAGCTGGATGAGTTATCAGCAAGGCAGGACAGGGGTCTCTGCAGCCAGGCGCTGCCCAGGCCTGCACATACCTTCTGCGAGGTTTAACAAAGGCCTTTCTGCTGCACTGTTCCTCAGATGCGGTGGGATTACCTGAACGGGAGGATACTGTTAGGCCATAGCAAAGAAATGGAGGTGCAGGTGGGCATTTTGGCAATGCTCCAGCACTGGGCCAAAACAGAGCAGCAGAGCGCTGCTCCCTCCAGGTATGTGTGTCTCGCGGCGCGTCTCTGTCTCTAATGGCTGTTGGCACCACAGGGGTCAGGGGTAGGTGCCTGAAAGTACTCTCTGGATAATTAAGGAATGGACAGTTCTGGTGAATGTAAGCTACTAATTAATGTCACTTAGTGACTGACTCCTGCCCGTAATCAAGAAAGTTTACCTCCTGTTCACACTTAATGCTGTCTGTCTCTGATCCACATTTCCTTTTGTGACTCCTCCTGAGCTGAGGGTCATGAGGGTGCCATGCATGTTTCTTTTGACTGCCATGTGTTTGTAATACCAAGAACAAAGTTGGGATGAATGCTCCTTTGTTCTTTCTCACAAGTGCCAGAGTTTTCAACCCTGGGCACCTGAAGTCTGTAGTGAGATGCCTAATGGGAATGCAAATGTCCCTGGGTACTGGAAAGCTTCTGTCCTGCAGCCCCAAGCTGTATTTTCACACTCCTTCCTTCCTGTATCCTTATGCACTTTGACTCAGAGTGGAGGTAATGTCTCCATCAGATCCCCTTACACCACCAGCAGCAGGGGGTAATGGCATAATCCCGCTGGGCATGGGGAACTCTGCTCTCTGTATGCTTTGGAGGCACAGGGGCAAGGCAGAGTAAGGTGGTTTTCAGCTGAGACTGCTGTGAAAGAAATACCCTGTGGCTTCACTGCCATGCTACAGTCCTAGCTGGAAGAGCTCCTGTTGTCTCCAGAAAGGGGGGATTTCTCCCAGTGCACTAGTCAGCAGTGCACAGCCGCCTTCTCTGTGGAAAACGGTGGTCTCACTGTCTCCGGGGTTTCCTTCCACATTATCCAATTCAGACACGACCTGTTGTGCTCTTCCCCTCTGCCTCCACCCTTGCCCCCAGCCATGCAACTGAAAATTGTTGCCAGATCCCCTCCTCCCTCTTAAACCCCCTGGATGATCTTTCGATTTTAGCTGGGCAGGGGTGAATTAGTATCTGCTTGTTGGCACAGGGAAGAGCTGAAGGAGTACACGCCAAAGGCCCTGCAGTCCTCCATCAGCCCCCAGGCTCTGCAGAACCATGTTGGCATGCTGCTGAGAACCAGGCAGCCCCTCCAGCCAGTGGATGCAAAAATCCAGTTCATAGGTGAGGAGACGTCCAGATCTGCTTGAGTTGTCTATCGTGAGCATGATGGAAGCTGCTCTGAACGCGCTTTTGGGACAGTTCATGAGGTTGGCGAGGATCCTTGGAGCCGGGAATGGGCCATGACATGTCACTCCCCGACAGCCTCCTCCTGCAGACTGGCACTCGTTCCCAAATACGGTGATCACAGTAGAAGTCCCACCTCTTTTGCAGAAGTCTGCAGCAGATTTTCAGAGCTCTGTACAAGTTGTGTTTTAATTGATATTCTGGCTGCACATCTCTTTTCTGGTCAGAAAAGAACAGGACATCTATTCAGGTTGCTGAGAATTGAGTATCAGCAGCCTGGGAGGGAGGGAGAAGTTGTCAATCTCACTTTTTAATGTAGAAAAGCTTGGGAACACCTGCAGCTTTTGGCCACCTTAGGCTGGTGCAGTAGATCGCTGGCTGGAAGCTGCTGCCTGAAAGTCACCTTTTGCTTTCTTACAGAGCACATGATGAAATTGCCTTTCTTTGGCTACAACACCTACTTTGTCGAGAGAGTCAGCGATGACACAATCTGTGTGCCCTGTTTCTTTGGCGTGAATAAAGAAGAGATCATTGTGGTGGATGGCACCACGCTGGTATGCCAGACAATTCCTCCCTAGAGGCCAGAGCCCTGATGTCTGTCGGATGTTAACTTTGACTTTTAGAAGAACTTGTGGAGGAAGAGACTATATTTACCTGCATCATAGCCACTCTTACAACAGCCCTAGCCCAAAGCAAGTGACAGGAGTAGGACAGTGCTGCTATGTGTTCTTTTCTAAGTCCAGTGATCAGGCTAACGAGCATGGTCCACAGTAAAACAGTGTCGGTCACATTCCTGTTTGTCCCAGTCTTGCAGGAGCTCTAGGGGCGTGCTGGCAGCGGGAGCTTGCCCTGAGTTCTGTACACACTGCCCTGTGTCCCAGTCCTTGTCTCAGCTTTATATAAGCTCTTGAGGTGAATCCTCCTTGGTGAGAATCAGATGGTTTTATTTGTCAGGACTGCACCAGAGAGTGTTTTGTGGCTTTTCTCCTCACACAGGCGGTCTCCTGCGTCATTCCACTGAAAGAGCTGCAGAAGATGCGAACCCTGCGGCCTAACTCTGACGGCGGGCTTCCCGGCATAGAGCTGAGCTATGGCTCACCTGCCAGCCCCAAGTCTATGTGGCTTGAACTGTCACAGGTGAGATCAGCCTGGACCTGCAGCTTCCTCCTGGCAATTCAGGAACTGCCCTCCGCTGCCCGGCTGAGCCTCTGCTAAGAGCCAGCACTATTGCTCTCTTCTGTCCCAGCGGTGGATGGGGCACTGCATTTCCCAGGCCCCAAATTGCAGCTTTGTCCCAGCACCCACCTCATATTTAATTATGGAAAGTGATTTATGGGAATATTTAATTATGAGAAGCAGCCATTTCTGGGGCAGAGAATGACTGCTAATGATTTGTGTTTTGACAGGCTAAAGAAATGTATCACACGATTGTTGCCATCCTGAATAAAACAGAGCTGCACCACTAAAGCCTAAAAGAGGAGGAGAACAACCAAGCAGAACAGCACCATTTTCCTTTCTTTGAGCTTGTTCAGTGCCCCTGCCCTGTCTTCTGGAGAGGTCTCTTCCAAAAGACACCCATGACCTCAGACAGCTGCTTTCCAGGACTGCCACCACAGTGTGCGTTGATGGACTGGACCATACCATCACCCCTGTGACCTGCCATTCAGCCCCCAAGTACTCGTCCTTGAAGCGAAGCATGCACTGGCTAAACAAACCACAGGACCCCCTTGCCACACCATTGCTTTTTCATCGCCGGTTCCAACACAGAGCAGCTGAACAGATGCAAGCAATTGCCTTAAGCTATGCAGTGGGGGACTGTTCTTTTCTTTTCTGAATTAATTAACATGAGCAAAGACTGAGGCTGGCTAGAGATTTGTGCATCACAACACAAAGCTGAGGCTATGAAACGACTGCGCTGGCTACCGGTGTTTTCCACAGGCCAGCTTTTTCTCTGTATTGATATGCAAGAGGCCCTGTAGCAGGATTTGTGAAGCGGGAGCTCGTAGAAAGCATCTTAATTGCAAAGCAGATCAGTGTTAATACGCAATTAACACATATGCTGGGGCACAGATTGAGCTGCAATGGTAAGAAAGTTTATTGTTAGTTAATTTCTTACTGACATAATTATACGCATATGTTTCCCTCTACTATAAAGAAGTCAGTCATGTCCATGCAGCTGTCATACTTAAATGGTGGCTCCATGCCCATGGAGAAGGCGTATTCAAATGGCACTTGTATTGCAGTAGAGTGTCCTGGGTTGTACAAAAATGCTTAATTTATTTTTATTGCTACAGCTGAAAAGTATCTGCACTTTAGGAGATTGCAATAAAATAATCACAGAGAGATTTTTGCAGCTACGATGTGACAGACACTCGTTTACGTCTAACATGGGAAGATTGACCTGCAGGTAAGTGGCAAAACCTGAGGAAAAGGTTGTCGCTGTTGGCTGGGAATGGGATAGATCTGCACGTGGTGCACAGCTAGCTTCTTGCTGGTGAGCTGATGCCAGCAGTAACTGCAGCATCGTCCCTGTCAGGAGCTTCCCTTCGAGTGCTGCTTGCTGTGGCCTGTGAGGTCTTGGCTGAGGGATGTTCCCCCCTCCTCCTGCAGCACTGCTACTGCAAGGCTAGGTAAGCACCGCAGCCACATGAAAGAAAGGAATAGAGAAGATCTCTGAAGATTAACTTATCCTTACTCCCCTTCTCTTTCTCTGAGCTTTTGCTGCCTTATACAGAAGCACAACTCATCAGGTTAGAAGTTTCCCACACTGCGATAAAGCACTTTGTCACACAACCCCATGCCTTAACCACCCCTTCCCGGACCCCCGGCTTAGGCGACAAACAAAGCATTTCTGAGCAGTTCACCCAGGCAGCAGCTGACCTCTATAAGCACTGAGCTCTGGAGAGACAGTAACCCCACTTAAGTGGCTGATGAACCAGGATTTTTAATGGGAAGGTAAAATAGAAGCCAGCAGGCAACAGGTGAGATGTACTTCTGTTGTGCGAGAGGCTCCTTGTGAAGCCCTTTGTCCTCCAGCGAGCAGAGCAAGCTGAAAATGAAAGTGACTTCTGAGTTACGCATTTCCAGGTTCTGCTTCTGGTTCTAAGTGGAGAAGGCAGCTAGACTCATAGCTGCAGCTGTAAGGGGCTGGAGGTGGCTGCTGGCGCGTTTCCCATCCACCCCATCCCAGGCTTGCCTTCATTAGCTGTCTGTTCAGACAAGAAATGAGCTTTCATGTCTATGTTCACAGTGATGGAGTTTTAACGTATCTTAGACCAGTCTGTATGATTAATTGGTAAGAAAAAGCTTTCAAGAAGAGTCCACAGCAGCTATAACATTGTTTTATTGTCAGTTCCGCACATACCTTTCAGTACATTTAAAAAAAAATACATCTGCTGAGTACAGTGATCCAAAAGCCTGTTTGATGGCCTCCCAGGCTGCAGGTTCCTCTAGCAGCACCAGTGCCTGAGGCCACCAGCCTCTACAGGCATGGAACAAAGGCAGAGCCCAACAAAAACCCAACAGCAAGGACTTGTGCCAGGGAATCAGGTTATTTCAAGCCCACTGACACCCTAAGGTTCAGGTCCTTACATAAATATAGCAGCAGGGGCACCCCAGTGTCAGTCTGCGGGCCACGGCAGTACCGTAACCAGTCATAACAGCAGCATTGCCCTCTGTACTGCAGACTGCGGGTGAGGCACAGGGAGCAAATATGGCTTTAGGGGTTACAAGCAAGTGCTGGAAAAGTGTTGGCAGCCTTGGTGCCACTATTGGAGAGGTTAATACTGAAAGAGCATCGCTGCTTAAGTTAAAGGGCAGGCAGAACTAGACAAAGTTAAAAAAAAAAGTTCAGATTAAAAGAAAAAGAATCCGAGTTTCTCCACCTTCAGAAAGTAGGCATTGCCTGCATGGTGAAAACAAAACGCTCCCCTCCTGCCCTTCAAGGGGAAACATTCAACCGTCAAGTTCGTCACTGGCAGCCCTGAGCAAAGCAAGTGAACTCGTAGCGTAAGGCTTCTATTGGCAACACTGAAATAAGAACTGAGAGATGGGGGAGCGAGGGGAGGAGCCGGCTAGGAAGCAAGGTGCCATCCCAAAGCAGAGTCCCAGCTGGAAAGTCTGAGCCCTTCCCAGACTGCTGCAGGGAGTAGAGGTTGGAGACGCTGCACAACACCTGAGGCAGCAGCCCCAAACCTGCCCAGCAGATGCAGACTTCGCACCTCTTGGCAAGAGGTGGTAGAGGGCCTCAGCGCCCAGTTATTGGAGAAATGCTCCCCAAGTTCACAAAACCTGGTTTCCTGGAAGTGCGTGTCACTAAGGACAGAAGTGGGCAAAAAATGCAGTGGGAAAGGAAAGCTCACTTCTGCAGTTTCATGAAACCCTCCGCGTCTGAGTTCTTCAAGGTCCCCTGCTCCTGCTGCTGGAGGAAGGACGACGCCAACGTGATGCAAGGATCAGCTCTCTGAGCTCTGCAGCTCCTGCCAGTCTGTCTCACTCTCGCACCTGACCCTTGCTTTGAAAAACTCCTTGATGAGTCTCTGCGCTTCCTCCTTCACTGCAAGAGAGGAAGCACCACCTTTGAGAGGATACTTAAGACATCTGCTCCCTCTAAAGTCATCAATCCATTGAGCAGCAAAAGAACCCAAGGTTCTGTGCTCTCCCCAGCTGCCAACTCACCAGTCTTGCGGGCAGGGTTCTGCTCTTCAGTCAGTAAGTGAGACAGGTGCCGAGCAAAGCCCTTGAACAGATCCTGCAGAATCGGGGACGAGAAAGAGCAGAAAGCAGACATTGGTTACCACACCAGACTGTTCCCACGTTTGTCTTGCCCTTAGCAGAGGCTGGCTTTAGCACAAACCATTCATAGGTTGAGACTACAGGCGTGCTGCCAACCTGCAAACACACCTGCCCCTGCCGTGCGGAGACACACACGCACGCTGCCTTGCGGAATGCATCAAGTGACCTACACCAGAAGTGTTGCCACTCCACAGGTGGGAGTTCTGAAAAACTTGCCAGAGTTTAGTGTGAAAACATGAACAATCACAAAGCAGCATGGAACCAACGTGATACCACTCTAGCTCACACACAAACCCTTTCTTGGGAGAGGTGAGTTGCTGCACCTAGAGTCACTAAACAGCACATACCAAGATGTGACTTGGAAATGAAATGTGGTATCCAGCTCATCTTCCCCTCCTCAGAGCCCCAGCTCACTAGGGAGATGCAGTCTCCTCCTGCTAGAGAGGGTCTTGAGCTGTGCCCTACCTTGGAAGCAAATTTGCCACCCTTGTAGAATGGGGTCAGATATTTGACAACGATGTCTGCTGTTTCTTTGAGGGAGACGCCTTTGGTCATTGGCTGTACGGTCTTGCTGGTTCCTTCTTTATCACACTGTGATAAGTTTGGATCAAAAGTCACCTTCTTCTTTGTTGGACCAACGCTTTTGCATTCTGGCTGGGACAGAATAGAAGATTTTGCCACTGTCCGTAGCCGCTTTGTTGCAGGGCTTTCCAGATCCTGGAGATGGGACAGAAGAAAACCAAACCCATCGTTAATTCCCGTGGCAGCATTACACTTCCAAGCAGCCACTACCTTCTGAAAACATGAATTTCTGCAGCATCCTGCAGGCTCTCCCTACAGTGACTACCATGCAGCAATCTATGTACGTAACCCATTTTGCTGTACAGACATAAGGCGCTTTTCCACACAAAGGGACTTGAAGAAAAACCCTTTAAGACTACCACATTTAGAATTACCCTATGCTCTTATTAGGGCAGCTAACTGCTAGACCCTGTCCTATGCAGGAAAAACTGACAGGAAAAGATTTCCCAGGATGTCTGCTGAGAACACACCCCTCAGGAAGAATCAGCCACTCCAGGAGTGCCACACTCCTCCTCAATTTGAATGAGCAAGGAGAAAACGGCACTGGCCAGCAGAGACAGCCACCGGGCAGCCTCAGGTGCCAAAAGCAGAACCAGAGGCTGAACGGCAAGAAAGGCTGTGAGCACGGTTCGCTTCCGAGCGGTCCTGTGTGCCATTGGCCTGTGGTTGTTCCCGTGACTTGGGAGAGCAGCTTAATTATAGTTAGTTACAGATCTAGAGGGGGTGGAGAGACTCATTCCGGGCAAGTCACCAGCAAGGGAGCAGTCACGTGTGCTGCAGAGAAGAGGAAACAAAGCAGAGTGGAGGGGACGCTTTCCACTGCAGTCCGAGCTGCTGGCACTGGCCCAAGCGGGCGGCGGGGGGACACCAGGAGCGCAATGCAACCACGGGTCTCCTCTCTGCTGCAATCGCAGCTGGGCCCTCCCCAGATAAATAACACTATCAATCAGGTGAGTTCAGATCAGGAGCACCACTCCCAGAAAGAAACTTGGCACAAGACGAGCAGAAGAAATAGAGGAAACAAGCAGCCGTTAAAAGTCTTACCTCATCTGATCCTGGTCGCTTCCCACACTCACCTTCCCCAACAACAGTTAGCTCAGTTTCTGCGACATTTTCAGCAACCCTAGTGGGAAGAGTGGAGAGAAGGCCGATTTTAATCATTCCACAGTGAAGATATCACTGCCACCACTGTCAGTGGCCACAAGACTCCCCACGGTAAAGCAAGAGTCTCCCTCGCCAGCCTAGAGATCTACTACAGATCCCAGTTTCCAGGACAAGGCTGGTGTGGCTCTGCAGCTCGTTAACAGGGAGCACAGAGGTAGAGATTTTACCTGGATTTTACAGCAATTTCTTCCTGAAGGAGTTCAGATTCAGCAGCCTGCTGGGTCTTCAAATCCTCCTCTCTCTCAGTCAGTGTTACTGCTGTCTCTCCCAGCTCCTCATTCTCTGCCTGGGACTGTCCAGTCACATCTTCTCCAGAGACATCTTTGTTTTCCTGAGGTATTGATTTCTCTTGACACATGCTTTGAGAAGAAACCTGAGGTAGTGTGCTTGCAGAATAGCCATCTTCCTTTGCTGAGCTGCAACTTTTGGCTTTAGACCCACCTTTGGGGAGGGAGAAGAATTTGGAAATGTCCTGTGATTCTTTTTTGGCCGCTTCTGCGAGCATTTGCTGCTTCTTGCTAGGTTTGGACTTCTTAGTAGGGCTATTGCAAAGGGCAGCTTTTGCGTCTGGACTGGGTTGCTGTCCCCTCTTTTCAGGAAGGAGTACTTCTACCCCAGCACTCTCACACAGTGCTTTGGTTGCTATTTCTTTCTTCTGGAGAACAGGGTTTCTGGTGTCCAGTTCCAGACCGCAGTTGCTGTTGTCTTGCCCGTTTGGACAATCTAATTCTTTTTTGACAGGCTTTGCATCGCTCTCCTCCTGGACCTTCAGCAGTTCTGAAGCTGTCTGGAACAAGCTGGATTTCTTTGGAAATCCTGCTCCCACGCGCTTGGGTTTGAACTAGGGAGAAAGGAAGAAGTTTTGGGTATGAGAGCATTAAGGAAGCTCTGCGTGCAGAACCCTGAAAGGAGCGAAGTTTCTGTAAACAATACACCAGTGCACACAGCCGCAAGCTGGGGAAGGCCCTAAAACCAACTCATCAACATAACCATCAACTGAGACATCAGGGACATGGATTAGGTTAAAGGCACGGGCCCGCAGTGAGGAAATGGATAGCGCCCTTGGTTAGAGCAAGGCGAGAAAAACGTATTTGACGTATGGCCTGCACATAGATTATAGTCACTAATAGGAACCAGCATGACCAGCTGATCTCACTCCAAAACCAAAGGACAGACAGGGAAAGCAATTCCAGTAGAAATATACAGCTATGGCCACACAAAGGACCTGAACTAAAATAAAAAAGCAGATAGATAGCCAAAGCACACCATTCCCTCCTTGTCTGTCCCACTCACCGAGTACACCTGGGATGCGGGGAGGACGTCCTCTTCTGCTGCAGACCCAGATTTTGTTTCTAAGCTGCTCTTGCCACCAGTTCCGGACCCAAAGACTGAGAACAGCTCTCCCTGTTTTGAGGCTTTGTTGATTTCTGCTACCTGAAAAGAGAACAGAAATGTTCTCTAACGGCCAGAATTCTTTATCCTGCCTCTGTACACCCTAAAAGCCATAGTGGCAAAACATGTCTCCCCTGGAGAGACACCTATCTCGAGAACAGGAACATCTTCAAAGAGACTTATTGCAACCAGCTAACCTAAACCACGGCTCCTCTATTGTCAGCGACGGCCTGAGGAACTCCCCGTTCCCTCGGTTGCTAGCCCTAGAGGATATTTGGATAACCTTGCACTGGTATGCAGGTTTCGAAAGCCTGCAAAGCCAACAAAGATGTGAAACCAGCGTGATTCTGGGCCCTCCTAGAAACAAAACCAAGAAGAAAGATTTGGAAGATATCCAAGGCAAAGCAGAGCTGCTCCTTCATCTTTCCCACACAAACTCTACCCTATCTCCCCTTGAGCTGAGGCCACAGCACATCCAAGGGAACAGCAGCAGACGTATGGCCCTACCTTCTTTAGCACAGTTGCCTTGTATGAGTTTGCCATTTTACTGGTTCGGAAAGCTTCGTACTCCAGCTCCACAGCACAGGCCTGAGGGTCTGACCTGTAACACAGGCTGGGGTGATTTCTGGCAGCACACACTTCTATAGCAGCAAAGGGAACACGAATGTTTAAGCGTTTCCCAAGAAAGTACAACATTCACTCCCTCCGACGCAAGAATAAGCGATAACTTCCAATTAAGTCCTAAGGGATGCAGCGGCGAATTGCTGGAGAACGGAAAGGGTGGTGAAAGCACTTTTCAATCCAAGTCCTCCAGTTGCTCAGTTTGAGAAGTACACGATCCCCATCTTGTGGGACAGGGAAGAATTGCGACTCCTAGGATCAAGCTGATTTGGCAGAATCAGACACAGGAATCCTCGTATCTGATCCTGAACATCAGCACAAGAAGGATGCTGTTAAGTGAAACTACATCCTTGGACCAAAAAACTTCAAAAGCTATTCCCTGAGAGTGGCTACGTTACTCAGGGAAGAGCAGGCCCTGTGTTAAGGTACTCAATATGCTACCCCTTTTCTCTCATCTCATACCCTTTTCCTCCTGCTGCTGGAACTTTTTGATTGGTGCTCAAAGCTTCTTCCAGCATCTTCAAGCAGTGTTCCCGTCCCTAGGAAACATGGGATACTCAGACATGCTCTACAGAAGCCACAGTGCCCCTCGGACTTCCATCCCTGAAGGAGTAAGAACAGGGCAGGCAGAATCTCTGTTGTTCTTTGCAAGTCCACAAGACTGAATGTTAACCAGCCCTTCTTACCTTCACCGTGAGCTTAGAGATCCTCCTGC